CTTCAAGAAGGTGACGATTTTTCCTTTCAGCAACCCCGTTTTGTTGAGGGGTATCAACATATGTGAGCTCATGAATCATACCTCTGTCTGAAATGAATTGTGACAGGCGTTGATTGACGTACTCAGTACTATTACCAGATCTGAGTCTTTTAATACCTTTACCAAACTGAGTCTCAACCATGTGATGAAACCGAATAAATATCTCTGGTACTTCAGACTTGTCTTTCATCAAGTATATCCATGTTACCCGAGTACAATCGTCAATAAAAGAAACAAACCACCTTGCACCTGAAACACTGTGCACTTTAGAAGGGCCCCAAACATCAGAATGGATAAGAGAAAAAAGTTCTTGCTTTTAATAGTGCTAGAAGGAAATGACATTCGATGGTGTTTTGCGAATTCACAAACATCATAATGAAAGGTCTCAACCGACTTATTGAGAAACAGAGAGGGGAACATAGACTTCAAAAGACTAAATGGTGGATGCCCCAGACGCTTGTGATGGAGCCAAATCATAGACTCTGCAGTAGAAGGATGACGTGTCATTAATAACTGATTTTTGCTAGCATGGTCTGGAAGGAGATGATACAACCCATCCTGTTCATTAGCAACTCCAATTGCCTTCTTCGTGGTAAGATCCTGAATAACACAATGAGAAGGAAAAAATGTGATAGAACAATTCAAATCAGTTGTAAGTTTTTGAGTGGAGATAAGATTAGTAGAAAGCTGAGGAACATAAAGAACATTTTTAAGAAACAAGGAAGGTTCAATTTGAATGTTACCAGAACCAATAACTGATTTATGGGATCCATCAGCTACAGATATAGTATGACTACAACAGTAGGATGATAAGAACAAAACAACTCAGTACGACAAGCTATATGATCAGTTGCACCAGAATCCAAAATCCATGAGGTTTTAAAATCAGTGCAAGAAGCAAGAAGAGATATAGAATGTGTGCTCTTACCAGATAAGATCAAAGAACTATCATGCTCGGCCATTCTTTAGTAAAAAAATTTAACAACCAGCGATAAAATCAACCAAACAGAATATCAAATGACCTCCGATCAGAAAAATAATCACAGATCCAGACAGAAGAGAAGGAGACGAGAAGAATGGTGGTGGTCCAGTCCAAAAACACGGCCGTACGCGCCTCCACGCGCCGGAGAAAGGAGCTGTGCGTGGGCTTAACTTGCCGGGAAAGGGGTGGCGCGTGAGAGCGCGTGGAGGGGCTTCTCCGGCTGAGATTTTTCTGGCGTGGTCGTCTGGTGAGCGCGCACCTGTCTGTGGGTGGTCGCGGTTGAAAAGTCGTCGGAAAGTGGTCAAAACGGTGAAGACAGATCTGATTGGAGGCGGTCGGAGGTGTTTGGGTCGTTTGTGGCGGAGGAACAGTGCGTAGAATGATAGAACGGAGAAAAATAAGGTCAACAATGGTCCCCTTGGTCCAAAAGGTCGGAAAAATTTTTCCGGTGGCGGCAAGAGGTAAAGAAATTAGGGTTTTGTTAAAAAAAAGACAATATGCGCGGAAGCAAAGCCCTCAGATCAAGAGCTCTGGTACCATGCAACTTGAAAAAGGGTATTCTGATATATTATAGAATTGTGTAAATACTTTGTACAAAGGTTCTCTATTTATAGAGAATACAAGACCTAAAATACCTGACCTAATGGGCTAAGCCCAATACAACAAATAATAAATAAATATATAATATTAATATTTACAACAAGTTATATTTTCACCAAGGAATTAAGCTCAATAACCCAATCCTTGAGAGGTTTAAGCGGCTATGTCTTGACTAATATGGTGCTCCAAAGGTTATTGATTCTCCAACAATATAGCACTAGGTTTAATTCTATATCATCAAATACATATAAAACCAGTATCAAAATCCATTTTCAAGCCTTTAATCATTAAAAAAACACCTTATTCATGAACCAAAAATACAAAGTGAGCTAAATGGTGATTTCAACACTTTTTCCTTATCAAAAACAACTCCCTAACATATCTTTCCAAGGAAACCATGTTCATTTCAACACCCATTCACCCAAACCACAAAAACCCTCTTTGAACACAGCCTAAATCATGAAATCTTCTTGAAATCAAAAGGAATTCATAGTCTTTTACCTTAAAGAAGGATTTTTCATCGAGCTATAAAGAAGGATTTTCCAAGCTTCAACACCTTCTTCCTTGACCATCCATGGAGGAGCACAAAAATAGGTCTCTGGTAAATGGATTTTTCTCTCAAATAAAAGCTTCAAAAGTGAGGATGATGAGTGAGCTTTGCTCTCTAGGTGAAGACTAGTGGAATAGATGAAGATTATCCACCCATTTTCCTTATTTGGTCGATGGGTCTTCAAGAGATTGGGGAGGGAAGTTTTTCTGCCAAAGAAAATGGGACAAAGAGAGAGTCATGAGGAAGAGGGAAGAAAATGAGGAGAGAGAGTGTAGTTTGAGATACTTGACTTCAGTCAAAAATATCTAAGTGAGAAAAGGCTCATCTGCCCTTTTTGGTTCACTCACTCACATCTAACCACTTAGGTGGCATTTGGTAGAAGAATTTTTTTAGGATTTTCAAAAACTGAGGGTGGTAATCTTATTTACCCACGTTTGTTACAAGATTTATAAAATTTTTCCGAAAATCTGACTTTCCTGGAATTTTATTTTGTGTAAAATTTTCTGAAAATACCATCCAAGTATACCACCCAGAGGGTGGTATTCTAGGATTTCCATGACAAGGAAAAATTTAACACAACCAAATATAACATTAAGAAAATTAAACCAACATTCCTGGGAATATTTTTGCCTACTAAACAACTTTTTGGTAACATTCTCGGAAAACTCATTTTTCCACCATATTCCTAGAAATCATGATTCTCGGGTAAAAGAAAATTTCTCATCTACCAAACGCCTCCTTAGGGTATTTAACTTGTGATTTTGGGCTTTTAAAATTTTGGGTAATTTCGTTTAATTGAATTTTTACCCCAAAACTTTCATTCTTTGTACTTTTTCTCCGAGAGGTGACTTAATTTAAATAATTCTATTTTTCATCTAATTAACCTCCTTTAGTCATTAAGTAATTTCTAATTATCTAATTTAATTATTCAGGTTATTATAACCCGCTAACACGACATAATAAATTTACATTCAAATCAATTTATTTTTAAATTTGTTGACAACTAAGACTTAAAAATTCGTATTATGTTGCTTGTTATTTCACATTAATCGTATTACAAGTTATCTGTGTCGTGTGAACATGATATTGATGCAAGCAACACTCAATATTCAAGTTATTTGTATTGTGTCGGTCAACTCGAATAATATATGCCATGCTTTGAAGTCAACAAATTATTCGTGTCGTATATTGACGATCCGCAAAATAAGCAGATCTTATTCTTGTTGGAAGTCTAGACATCAATCATTGTTCATGTTGTGTTCGTATTGAGTGTATTTATTGGAAGCTTGCACGGTATTATTATAATTTTTTTTTATTTCAGTACAATATATATTTTTTATTAAAATTAAAAATAAGTGATATATATATATAAGAGTTATATTTACAACTTTTTTGTTTATAAACTCTACTATGTATTTCGAGGAATATACACTTAGGTGTTTGTATTCTCCATAATACATAGTTGAATTTGTAAACCAAAAATTTGTAAACATAACATTTTCCATATATATAATAATTTTAAAAAGTGAATAAAATAAATAAGTATTTTTTTTAATCTTACTAATTGATGTAAGAAGAAATATTTTGTTAGTAGTTGCAAAAACTTAACCTCATAGGAATGAATAAATTTTGGGTGCAGTGGATGTAGGCACATCCTGCCCAAAAAAGGAAAAAATTAGGGACTTAGATGGAAGTATAAATTAAAAGCTGGATTTAAAGGGTAGAAAATTTTCATTTTTAGAAAGAAAAAAAAATATACTCAAGTGGATACATACCTAAGAAATTTTCCATATGAACACCTTTTCACAAGGAATCGAGACAAGGGGAAATCCTATAGGTCCATGTGGATCATATATGATCACTCCACATTAGTATTAAATATTCTTAAAAGGAAAAATAATTTTTCAGTACAAATAAAGATAATTAATTTAGTTCAATTCATATTAAGTACACTTAAAATAAAGAAATAACTAAAATTAAATCAGTCTTAATAATTAAAAAAATTATTAAAAGAACTAAACAATTAATCAAACTTAAAATACATCCCATTCCAAATATGATATCGTGACGCACTTGATTTGCATGTACACTGACCACAGAAAAATGAATATAAAATGAGTGTAATATATATGAGAATAATATAATATAATGCATAGCAAAAATATTTTAAAACAACACATTTTTGTTAGCTATGATAGTAATAGTATCATAAAACTAAAATAGAATTGAGAGACGTAAAAACTGAAAAGAAATTTAGAATGGAAACCCTCAAATGATAAGGAAAATATTAAAGGCAAGAATAGAAAATTTTCTATTAAATAGAAGAAATTATAATCTCTTTTTAAATACAAGAAGAAAGTAATAACATTCTCTCTTGAAATCGAAGAGTATAATTCACTCTTAAAAAACACTCAGACTCTAATATTGCTTCCATTTGAATAGTTCAGCCACCAAAAAATATTATAGCTTCCAAAGGAATTGTGACTTTACAACATAACTTTTGTACATGTGCATTCGTGAAATCCCTACTCGAGCCACATTTCTTGTAAAAAAGTGTCCTATTTTTTCTCTGGATCAATCACATGAGAACAAAGAAAAAGAGAAAAGAAAAAGAGAAAAGAATAAGATGAGGCTCTAGCTCCAAACTGAAGTCACTAAAAGTTCCAAAATAATAATAATAATAATAAATTTATAAACACCGTGTGTAACATACAATAATTATGAAAGATATACATACAATAATTATGAAAGATATAGTATACCAATCACGTGTCTGTAGAAATATACAATAAAACAAATTAAAAAATGCAATAAATGGAATGAACCTTATCTTATTAGTCAAATACAATCCTAAATCACTCCCTTCCAAAAATTCCAACCATCCAAAAAACTATGCAAAAAGGAAAAAGTATTCCTTTAACATAGCAAAGATTCAAAAAAGGAGTCATCTACAGGCTCCTCCTTGGCTCTGGAAGAAAAAACATTGTCATATTGGTGATTCATGATGTAAGACTCCATTGGATTCATCTCGAGGTTGAAGGGTGATTGTCGTTCTAGTGCTGCTGGTCTAATACTCTGAAGAGAATTGTTGATTGAATTGTTAGTGTACTGAGTCACATTCAAGGACCTTATAGCAGGTGCTGCACTGATGATGCTGTTTGTGGTATTTGGCAGTGATTTGTTAAAACAATTTTTACCACTGCCACGTGCTGCAGGGACATCATGATTGTGCTTTCCCTCATAGGTTGTGATCACTGCCCTTAGATCATTTGAGGCTCTCTCTACATGCTTCCTCACTGCACATCCTGGGCTTGTGCACTTGTAGTAACTCCTACCAGTCACAAATTACAGACAAAGTAAGACTAGGTTCTAAAGAATTAATTTAATTCAAAAGTTTAACTTAAATGAAGGTTCATAAATGATTTATATACTTCTCTAATATGCTTTTTTACACGAGAGTTTACTGGGCATAACGATAGATAATGTATAGGCTCATCTACCTATGTTAAGAGCGATGAGAATCGAACGCGTGACATCGAGGCTCTAATACTATGTAAAGAATCAATTCAACTCAAAAATTTAAGCTATCAAGTGAAGACCATCAATGGTTTATATTAGACAATCTAGGAATGTCATTTATTCTTACACATGACATGGCACAGAAGATTTGATTCCCATGAGAGAAACCAGGGTTGCTAAATTTGACCAAGAAAATTAAGACAATGCATAGCATACTGTAGATTTCCAATAAAGAGCCACTATTGCTAAGGTACCAAGAAAGATAGATAGTAGGATACTGTAACAGTAGGCATCATGCATTTATGATGTCTATGCCACATTTGATAAGTCAAGTAAGTGTTATGATTGTATACTATTACTAACATTAGAGAGTGAAAAACTACTATTCTCAATAGAACTTCAAAGCAGAACAACTTCAATAATGTAAATGTAAAAAAGTGAGTATATATATATTATTTTTACCTTGGATTTGTATTTCCCTTGACTACTTTCTGCCCGTATTTCCTCCATCTGTAACCATCATCTAGAATATCGATGTCAGTGGTTGTTTGAACTACAACTCTGGGTTCTCTCACTGTTCTGTTTCCTGCTGCTGATATACCCTCATTTTCACATTCTGTTCTCCTAAAATATTGATGGAAAAATTAATGGTTGATAAGCAACTATTCAACCTAACAGCTTACAGGGACTTTAATTATATCTCTAAAATAATTAACCACGCAAATGATTTGTGATATCCACTTAGTGTACTGGGGAAAAGCTATAATATTTTAAGGAAGTGATCAAATAAAAAATGTAAAAACTCACCATCTTTTGGCATCAGGTTCATCTTCATAAAATTCATCTCCTCCTGATTTACTCTTCTTGGAACTCTGCTCAAAATCATCATCTCCCATTGATATTGAAGAGTTATCCGGGGTCATAACCGAATCCATTGGTCCACTGACATGAGGGGCATCTTGTATTTCAGTGCTGACATGATTTGAATGAGGAATTCCGAGTGATGATGCAAACAATGAGTTCTTCTTGGTAGCCTGAGGCTTGGGATGGTTATGTGTACTTTTGTAAACTATCTCAGTAACTTGGCCATCTAAAGAACTCTCAACCTTTTTCTTTGTTGGGCAATTGGGGTATGTGCATTTGTAGTAGCTTCTTGGATTTTCACTTCCTTTCACTTGTTTTTGCCCATATTTCCTCCAATTGTAACCATCATCTGATCTTCTGCTTAAGGTCTGTACTTGTTGGTGGTAATTGTTATAATCCGATTGAAAACCACTTTTGTGGTTGTTTTGTACACTAGCAATGTTCTCAGGGGTGAAACTCTGCATCGAAGAAGAGTTTTCTGTTTTTGTCATACTCATACTCATTTCTGAAGAAAAACTATCTTGTTTAGAGGTTTCCTGAAAACTCCATCCCTATAAGGTTGAAACAAGTCAGAGAAATACCAACAAGAGAAAAAGCATATGTAGAATTTTCATGAATGAATCTGTGAATTGAAATTGGTCACGCACGGTTTGAACTGAGCAGGTTGAAGATTGAAACTCAGTTGTGGATGGAACAGGAGGCTGTGATTGATTTTGGAAGAAGTAAGTTGAGAAGCTTTTGTCTTCTTCTTTAACATTCTTTTGGTTTTCTTCATAACTACTCTTCCAATTGAAGCCCTGACCAGAAAATGCTCCATTTGTTGGAGATGGAAAAATCTGAATTAACAAAACCCGAAAGGACACATACCCATTAATCCAATAACATGACAAGTTAAGATATTAGATGCAACAAGAATCACAAAACATAAGCCAGATAAAAATACAAAAAAAAGGGTAAACTCCCAAAAACATGAATACAAAAGCACGTTCAAATTAGTAGTAGTGAACATGTTTGACATCTTAACCACCAAACCAATGAAGAATCCTCCAAACTAAACAAGATGAAACTATAAATAAAAAGTTGCAATATTATGTTCCATTCAACTTACGTTAGAAGAGTTAAGGAGAAGAGGGGAGTCAAGAAGCTCGGCAAGGCTCATCCCATGAGGGATAGCAAAGTAAGAAGAAGGAGAAAGAGGGAGAGATGGAGGCTGTGTACACTTCAATTCGGGCACACTACCCGACCCAGTTTCGGAGACTCCGAGGTTGTGGTCGGTTGGAGAAGCAAGGAGGTCAGAGAATGAGGTGGTCATGAATGGAGAAAGAGGGTGAAGTTTAGATATAAAATGTTGCTGTGGTGTTAAACTATTAAAAGAAAAGGCTTATAAGAGTCAGAGAGAAAAAAAGATATGGAAGTGCTTAATAATATATGAGAGAGAGGAGGGAGAGAGGAAGAGGGGTGAGGTGGTGAAGAAGGAGAAGAAGATAGTTAGGAATAGTCGCCAAATCTCACTTTTTGTTAAATTTTTTATACAAATTACACACCAAGAATATTTTTTAGCTTACTATCACCTGTTGCAAGTGAATTTTGTGGTCAATAATTTCGTGACGCGTAATCCTATTACTAACTAAATTCGTTATCATTGGTAGTGAATTATGACACGTTAATTTTTTCTTATAAAAGTGTATCACGTGTCATAAAATCGTTGACAAACTTAATTTGCTACTAGCTGTAGTAAATTACGTCCACGTGACATTATGATAAAAAATATTATTCGAGTGATATTTAGATAAAAAAAATTTGCCAAAAAAATGACATTTTAGTGTTCCTGTAGTTACGTGAGGATCAGAAGAGATTTCTGAGAAGGTAACTGGATAAAGTTTATATTTTTATTATTTTTTGGTATGTTGAATAAAGTGTATTTTTTAGTTGTTTATTATTATATTTTTTGTGTTTTTATTTTAGGTCAAAGCTCGTGGGTTTGACTGTGTGGCGGCTGAAACACATTAATGAGATATCTTTTTCTGTTGTACTTGCAATATCATGATACAGTTTTATATCAAAAAAATTGTGCTTAAAGTCAAACCTTGAAATTATTAATCTTTTACAAACATAGCATAAAATAATTGAATAAGCTAAAAAGATTAAGCACAAAAAGCTAAGCTAATAAGAATGAGAATGATATGTATGAATTTAGTCTCCATGAATCTCGTTCAATTTTATGAAAAATGGTCATTACAAATTACAATTGGTTAGTGCTATGCTATTCTCAATAAGGTTATCGTCTCTCGGCGTTTGCATTTTCAATTTCGAAACATGAATAGCGAAAGATAGTAAAAAGAAAGAAATGAAATTTATGAGATGATAATTGGAAAAGATTTTTTTTAAGTTAACTGTATTGGAATATTAAAATGTGATAGGCTTCACGTTAGCTAATAATAGGTTAAGTGCGGAGTGTATAAATGAAAGTATCCATAAATTCAAAGTTTTATGGGACGTTTGGTACATAATTTTTTTTTTATTCAGAAAATAATTATTATCGAAATGTAATGAAAAATATATTTTACTTGAATCTTACTAAAAAGCTGGTTGATATATTCATATTTTTCTGAAAAAATTAAATTAATTTCACTGAGTTTGTATTTAGTTAGTTATGAAATATTAGTGAAAATGTGAGATTATTTTGCCAAAATAACCGCACCATATCAAGATCAATTTTATCCACATTTTCGTGCTTTAATTTTTGATTTCCTAGTCTGTCAACATTTTCACCTATTTTATGGAACTCTCATTTCTACAAAAGTTATCACACAAAAGTATTTTTAAGGAAACAAATTTGACATGGGAAGTTTTGCGATTTTAGCTACCAAACATTGCACACTTTTTTTCCTACCATGGTTTCAGGAATAAGTTGCATACTAAACGCGCTTTTAAAGTTTTAAATTGAGATGTGGTGTCGGATTTACTTGATGTATTTGATCCACTTAGCTTTCTTCATTAACTCTTTAAACCAAGTTGGTTTCCTCTCGTATCCTCACAAAGGTGACATGTGAGAATCGAATCAAGATTATTTATTTTTCACTTATTCAGCTTTCTTGTTACAAACTGAACTATCACTATTTAATTAAAAATATACAAAATTGATTTATACAAGAAAGATGGCAATGGAGAGATATCCAAAATCTGTGCTGTCAATCTAGAAGATGAGATATGACTTGAGAAGGGTGCATGGCTCTTCTAGAAGAGGGCCTACATGGAGAAAGAGAGATCCACGCGTACATACACAAAGAAACTGTCCTTCAATACTTCTTTTTTTTCTCCCAAAATATCACAGCTTTTGCTTTATGAAACTTTGACATTTCCCGAGTCCAAGCACACGCACACCCACAATTTTAAGTTACCTTCATTCAACGCAAATTAGCAGATTATTTTGTAATAGGGTTTTGTATCAATTATGTTACAGAAATGCACAGTGCACAAACAAAAAAAATATGGCCCACAAACTTTTATTTCTCTCTCCTTATCTTACATTCTCTCTTCTTTTCTCTTTGTGCAGGAAATAAATTGTACGTCATGTAACGTAACCGATGTAAAACCCTTTGTAATATCAGATTAATACATTATATATGTGAAGTAACAAAATGACAAAAGTAGGAGGTTGAATTTTTAATTTCCTGTTGTACATTATCTTTTAGTATAGTACTTGTTGGCCGCATTGTATTCTTAATAGGTTTACGTCATTATATAAAGGATTTAATTTTTCTGTCGAAAATCTGCAACCGATACAAATAAGTTCTTTGTATCGGTTGTAGATTTTTGGTATCCACTATTTAAAAAACAGATAACACGTAAAATTATTTACATAAACTTTTTAATATTTTTATAATGAATATAAATAAATTATTTATATTTATTTTTAAAATAATATTATTTTAAATTGTTAGATTAAAAAATTATAAGAAAAAAATTTATTATAATCTTGAAATAAATAATTATAAAAATACTATAATTTTTGTTTCAAAATAACATTATTTTAGAATCAAAAAATGAACCTTTTACTTAATACAAAAATGATTTTCTTTAAGTAAAATGATGTGAGAGCAACTGCAAAAAGGTTTATGTAGTTAATGCAAAACAATTTTGTCTTTTATAAGTTATTTGCTTAAAAGATGTGCTGTGTTGCATTTTCTTTTAAAACAAAAGACTTTTAGATAACTAAAAGTTTATTTCACAAAATAATTAAATTAACATAAGGGTTAAATATTTCTTATGTTATACTAAAAAAAAAATATTTCTTATGTTATAGGAGATAAATTTATCTCCTACACATAAAATTAAAAGTATTTGAGACTCATATGAGAAAAAGAAAAAGAAAAAGAAAACATGAACCTTACATACACTATAAGAAAATGTGTGTTTTGCGACAGATAATTCGCGTCAGTCAGGGTCCAACCGTCGTTGAATAAATAACAACGACGGTTACTACGACGTCTTACTGAACCATAATTGAATATCACAATTCCACGACGGATTTCAGAGTCGGTTATAAAACGACGTAGAATACCATATTCAACGACGGTTAGAACCGACTCAGAATAAGATTTCAGAGGCGGTTATAAAATGACGCAGAATATTACTATTCAACGACGGTTAGAACCGACTCAGAATAAGATTTCAGAGGCGTTTGTCAAACGACGTAGAATACGATGGTTAGAACCGACTCAGATTAATGACGGTTACAAACCGACGCAGAATTGGAAATTAAAGGCGGTTATTAACCGTCGCAATATATAAATTCCATAATGGTAGATGTTTATTATGAACAACGACACTTAGAAATATTTGAACACAGTATACATTGGAGGAATCCAATGACAACAACCACTATGCCATTGAATTTATTGTTATATTTTATTACTATTATTAATATATTTATTACATACTTTTTTATAAATTTAAATCAACCTTTTCAACTAAGTCAATGATGGGTCTAGTATTCATAACATTGGTTCAACCATAACCTTGTGGCTTTAATGTCTCTCATGTTGAATTTATCTCCTATACACATATAAAACTGTGTTGGGCCCATCTTTTCATTTTCTTTTTTTTTTCACATGATCAGCCCCATATACTTTTATATGCGTAGTAGATAATTTTACCTGTGACAATATGAGAAACACCGAACCCTAATTTTGTTGAGTATCTCTCCCCCCCCCCCCCACCCCAAAAAAAATCTCCTTGATATAATTTGGACATAAAGCACTGAAATTAAATATTGGTTGTATAATTTCTATAGTAATTGTCATAATTAATATATGGTCGGGGAAATTAGAATGCTGAAAACTTAATTGCCCTGAGCAAAATCTAGAATGTCAATGATATATATAATATAAGGAGTGGTAAATATTGATCATGGATATCAATTTTGAGAGTTTGTTCATGTCATTGCATTTGTTGAGTATCTCTTTCGCCAAAATCGCATTGTTATAATTTGGACATAAAGCACTGAAATTGAATATTGGTTACATAATTTCTATAATACTTTCCCTATTAATTAATATATGGGCCGGGGCAATTAGAATGATGAATACTTAATTGCTAGGACAAAATCCAGAGAGGCAAGTGTAGGCACAAATAATTTTTTTGAACGGTGGATGGGGTTTTCACTTTCAGAAAGACAAGGAGAAGAAATGACAACATGAAGTGGCAGAGGTGGTGTCTTTTGAGGATTTTCCTCAAGATGTCACCAATGAGGGGAGTACCACATCAACACCTGTGACTAAAGATAAAAATCAAGCCATTGCCTTTGTAGCAGCAACTGCTAGAGTTGTGAGATTTAAATGTTATAGACGCCACTCCAGCAAAGAATGTGCATCAACACTCATTCAACCATACTACAAAAGGATACCTTGTAAAGACATCCTTTGTCTTTTTTCTTTCTCTAACTACAGTAATTATTGTTATCTTTTTTTCGTCAAGTTGTTGTTCATTATTTAATATCATATTGTGCTACATCAGAATTCATTTGTTCGGTATGGGGACATAAATTTATCGCAAATTGATTATTATTTTTTATGTTAAGACATAAATTTTCTTTTCTTTTGTTATTTATATTATTTTATTTTTAATACATTTAAAACTTTTTTTTAAAAGCGCATGTGGGTGTGCACATGTGCGTGCATGTGTAGGCATAAGTGTGTGTGCGCGCGTTGGGTATGACTCATACCTAGCATTCAAATGATGACTCTTCTTGGTAAGGTGCAGAGAAAGCCAACGGGAGTCTTACTTTCCAATAAGCAGGCGGGGTCTGGGGAGCCACGCTCAGGATCGAAAAGGATAAAAATAAGATGGTAGGAAATGTAATAATATTATTTAATAGAAATTTTAATTATCAAAAACTCAAATATTTAATAAAAAAGGGATAACTTCATCTTCACCAAAAAATAATAAAAATAATAGAAATATAAAGAATAAAAAGAAGAAGAAGAAAACTAGCACTATTTTTCCAATTGCTGCTGTTTTCTTTTCTTTTTATGTAATTTTGATTCTCTCTGTAAGATTTTATCTTGTTTTCTCGAGAAACTTTTGGATCCACTCACTCATCGCGCGGTTTTTCCTATACAATTAAGTTTATGTTCTTTTCTGTTTTGTAATTTCGATTTTTGTTTTGTTAGAGTTTTGATTTGATTATTCTAATGAGCGATCATTTAGTGCTCTTCGTTGACCGTCTCCTGCGCCCTGTTCCCATTGACCCTGTCGCACAGGAGGAAGACAACGCTTCCAATTCGGGGGAGAGTGACCATATTCCCGTTCTATGTACCTTACTTTGCTTATCTTTTTTTTTGTAAATTACTTTGCTTATCTTTAAAGTTCAGTTACAACTATGTTTTTCATTTTTGGTTCTGATGATACCTAACTGGTATGCATTACGTTTTTGGTTCAATATCAATGGGTCCTTTAACTTTTCGATGAGATATTTTTTTAAAGCCCAAGAATGATTTAATATTTTTAACATTTTGCTTCAAACCTTTGGCTTAGTCAACCAAAAGCAAAAGGCCTTTATTAGTTAGACAAATGAATTATACTTATCACGTGAACTTTTAGTAAAAGTGACACAAGTCAGTATACATATTTTAGTGAGCAAAACCTGTATACATATTTTAGTAAAAGTGACACACGTGAATTTTACTTATCATGAACCTTTTTTTTACAACACTATACAAATCAAACATTATACTGGCCATAACACTCCTAAATTTAAATACAGGAATTATTTTAAATTATTATTAATATTTTATCATTAAATTCAATTTATATAATACATATATTTATTATATTTTCATATGATATTTTTAATAAAAATTTCAATTAAAAATCGAGAAATGAAGAGAAAAAAATATAACTTGTATCCATTGGTACCTAACTTGTATCCATTGAGTTTATGGTTGCAATGGTACCTAACTTGTATCCATTGATTTTATGGTTCACCATCAATGGGTCCTTTAACTTTTCGATGATATGAATTTCTTAGTGTCTTTCTTTTTCATTTATATATTTTGGGAGCTTTATTAAGTTTATTTATGTATTGTGTTTTCTATATGGGAAAAAAGTGCATGGAAGAAAGGAAGAAAGGTGCCATGTCCAAGTGGTTTCTACCTCTCCTAATGAGAGGCACCAAAAAGTGCATGCCTTACTAAACAAATACATTAATATTTAAAAAAACCAGTAAAATATTTGACTATTTTGCATTGATTTTTGGCAGAAATTAACTACTCAAGCATATAAATTTTAGTAACAATGAAGGACATTCAATTAACGAAGCCTGAAGCTGCAAGTTGCTGAGAGTATCGAAGGCCAACTACTAGTTATTCTTTTAACATCCTGACTATTTTACCCCTTTAGCATCATAGCTAGCAAGATGGATGTTTAGGCTTTCAATTTTTTTTTTTACTGTTATGTTATTGGTGCATAAGGCATACCTCGCTTGAACCAAGAAGGTGCTCCTAAGGTGCCAAGATGTGCTAATCCTTTGCTAGCGCCTTTCCTCAATGCCTTAGGCACACCTTTTGATGCCTTTGACTGCAATGCTCAAATAGTCTAGTTTTATCGTATACTATTATTATTTTGTTGCTAAAGTGCCAAGAATATATGATCGTTATGTTGTTAAAGTTGTTAATGCTTAGCTTTCCCGTAATGGTTTTCATTTTGTTGTCTGTGTTTTCATGTTGTGTTGAGATTTTATTCTATTTTTGCAGGTTCTTTGTTCCAAGTTTAATTTTTCTGAAATTGAAGGTGCATAATCTTTACTTTATATATTGTTGACTAACTTCGGACAATCTGGCATATACTTCTAATTTATACAAGTCATGTATATGTGTCTTGTTGATTTGTTTAAATTTTCAGCTTATTACTAATTTATAGGAATGCCTCGAAAGCCACGATTTAGTATGAGGCCTCTATCTACACCGGGCAATATCCCTAGTGTTTCTATAGGGACTAATTCTGAAGGTGGAGGACCACATAGTGCTCCTATTTTGACCCCAGGTCCATCTAATTTAGGCAATGGGATACAACATTCTATTGGTGAGGATGTTGACAATATGCAACCAACATGTCCTTCTCCAATGCAAGATGCTGGACCATCCCAACCACAAGAACCTGCCAATGAACACCAACCAACAGCTGCTAAGAAAAAAAACCCAACCTACTGGATAGTGAATGTCATAGGTTTGCATCTTATCTCTTAAATTATTATCCCATTAATTTATTAATTAATATATTTTTTATTTTGATATCGAATTTATGAATTCTCTCCCATGCTTAGATGATCAAGGAGTAACACGGGAGCGGCGAGTGCGAGTTCAGGATGTATATGTCCTTCCTGACAACCATAGAGTTGTCATGGAGTGGAATGAGATAGGCCAACCAATTGGCAACTCTGGTGGCCTGTATGGTTTTTTTTCAGGTGCAATTGCAGCTGATTGTAAAAATTTCCCAATCAATTATAAAAAATGGCCCCTGGTTCCAGATTATCACAAGAATATTGTTTGGGAGAAAATCCTCAAAGTATTAATCTTTTTTTTAACTACTAAATATTCTACCTTGGTGTTTATTTTCTGACTTTTCATGTATTCATTTTTTTAGGTTAAGTTTGATGTCAGCGCTGATGAGCATAGAAAATGGATCATGATGGATATTGGGAAAAAATGGAAAGACAACCGAGCAAGGTTGTGGAGCATGTTTAGAAAGAGTGGCATGACCTTTGAACAAGGTGTTGAGCATTTTCCAAGTGGTATTCCAAGAGATCAATGGGCTTCTTTTTTGCAATACAAAATGGATCGGGAAACATAGGTAACATCATATAATTATAAAAATGAAAATATGAAATGTCATTACTATTATTTTTTTATTTTTTTTTTGAATAATGCAGAAAATTGCTGAAAAAAATATTGCAAATAGGGCTAAACAATCTATCCCACATACTTTAGGTACAAAATCAATCACTAGAAAGAGAGCTGAGATGGTACTATTCTAAATTACTATAATTCATGTGTTATATGTCATTGTTCTTTTTATAATCACATGATTTTTGCTACTTTTCTTGTTTTCATTTTTTAGGAAATCACATTAGGTCACCCTATATCAAGAGCTGAAATGTATGCTGAATCCCATAAAAAGAAGGATGGCACATTCACTAACAAAGAGGCTAGTCAAAAAAAATGTAAGTACAATATTTTTTTTTTACTTGGATTATAATTCATGATGTGTTAGTATGTAATTAAATGAGGAATGCCTTCTTTTTTGTAGGATCTATTATTAGCTGGTCAAAATGATGGAAATATGACTCACGAAGAAGCATATATTCATGTTTTTGGGAAGGAGCACCTAGGACGTGTACGGGGAATGGGATTTGGTGTCTGTCCTTCCCAAATTCTTAGTTCTAGTTCTATGGGTTCCAGCTCAACAGCCACACAAAATGAAATTAAGGAGTTGAAAAAACAAATTGAAACATTGCAGGAAACAGTCGCAAACTTGGTCCGAAGCTTTGGAGGTCGAATGTCGTCTAATCTTGCACCCAATGGACCTCATCAGGTATTTTATTTTAACTGGGTTTGTTTTACACATTTGCACTCACTCGCACAACATTGGTGTAGCATCTTGTTGAATGAGCATCATGTTCTTATTAGTTTTGCCTTTTGCAAAATGGTTTGTAACCAATTTTTTTGGAACTGTTTGTTTTACACAATTGCACTCACTCGCACTTGCACTCACTGTTAATATAACATTGTGAAGTTTTTTTGGAGGTGACAGAGTACTATGGTTTTTTTGGTGTACTGTTAACCTTGATATGACTACATATGTAAGAATTGTTTCACTGTGCCATTAATGTTTGCCATCTGTGTGTTCATTATATATACCTTCAAAGAGTATCTGATGAATATAAAATCTACCTATATTTTATTCTATCTGAAACACTCTAGTCATATTTATCTCCCTCAGTTTGTAATATGCGCAAATTAATATGTGATTATATATAGCAGCCGATCACAACAATGTATATAAAATATGAATACAATCCATGTTAAACTAACTAGCCTGTATTTTGCTGAAATGAAATAATGACTTAGAATTTGTGATACCTGTTTGGAATGTTTATAGCAGTGTATATGCGGAGATAACTCATTTGGCTGATAGATTTATTTGCTTGGTTCATGTTGGTAAGATATTAGCAGAATGAAGATATAACAGGGAAAAATTAACTTTTAGGAGTGGCACTGCAATTCTAGGTCCTCGGTTGTGGTTTGTGTAACTTGTGGGTACATCAATACCTGTAAAATGCTAACACAACACATTGTGATTACAAAGTTGTCTTCCTTCAATAATGACTCATGCTATTTATGTGTAGTTAATGAAATGCAGCTTGCAAGTTATATTTGCTTTTATGGAACTTATAATTCGTTTCAATTTAAATGTTGTCGATATTTATCATTTTAAAGGTCTTATTTGTCATTAAAACGTTTTTACTTGTCATTTGTAGACTCCAGATTTGGAATCCCCCATCGGTGTCAGAAGGTCTTCATCAGCCAGCTATGATCCAAATAATTGCAGACCAACCACACAAGAACGACAAAATGAAGGATTAGAAACAACCTCTTGATGACGAATTCATGGATGAAATTTGAATTCTGGATATTTTGAAAACTTTGGGATAACATTTTGTAAATGTCTTTTGTGATCTTTAGTTTCTGTAAAGGGAACAGTACTTTGGGATGATATTTTGGGATCTTTATTTTTTGTTTAGATTACATCACTATGGGGGTCACATCTTGTTGGACTTTAAATATGACCTTTACTTTTGGTTTAGATTACAGAACGTTGGGATGATCTTTTGTTAGACTATGAAAGTAATCTATATTTTTGTGTTTAGAAGATTGTACAAAACACCAGGTTCGGTGTTTTTGAATATTTACATCACTATTATTTAAATTAAATGTTAAAAAAAAATTAATTGCCCTATTATTTAATGAGTATGTCTTTTTACGAAATGTCCTTACTATAATTTAGACATAAAGATTTATCCCAGAAATTGATTGCACATGTAAATAAAATGTCCCAGTTACTTTTCTCAAGATTTAATTGCACATTTGTATGTCAACGTGTGCGTATATGCAGGTTGCTGTATGTGGGCATGCATCAAGCATGTGAGTGTCTATTTATTTTTTAAAAGCAGAAAAATAAAATGATAGGAAAATTTTGAGTTATTTATCAATACAGATTTTTAAATATAAAAAGGTTGGAATTTTTTTTAAATGGTGCAGAAATAAAATAAATTATGAAAAAATATTAATGGTTTATATATTAGAAATTTTTTATATAAATTTTTTTATATTAAATGAAAAAACTGCAATGATTGAAACCATTGTCCATATATTTGAGCATTTTTTATTGTACATTTTTTGTTGCAAGGATCCATTCTGTATTTTATTCAAGGAATTTTTTTTATTTTTTTAGCATCATATATAATTTATTTAAAAAAATTATTTTTTATTTAAAATTAAAATTTAAAAAAATCCTCTCAATTTTTCTTTTTTAATTTTTAAAATGATACATATTTAAATATTACATATCAAAAGATCTATTAAAATATATCACTACCTTCTTATCACTTTTCGTTTTACCCGCTCCCTATTCCCTCCAACTTTTTTCCCTTTACCCGCCCTAATACTTGTTCCCTTTTCACATTACCCTAATTTCTCATTTTCCTTTTCACACTGTCATCATTTCATCAAGCACAATGTTTACTCTTTTGATCCAAAAGATACAAAGAGCCTCTTTTGTTGTTTTATCGATTACTAAACCCTCCCTCAACTTTGACTAATCATGAAAGTGGTAGCTTTGTGTTAATAGGCTGTATGCAGTTTTTGAGGGTAGCGTTCGTTCCTTTACTTTCATCAACTTGCAGCTTCTTGGGTTCAAAAGTTTATATCTGCTTCTTTCCTTTTGCAGGAAGATCTTTCAAGGAAACTGTAGAAGGAGCATGATGGAAAATTGTGTAAGTAATCTATAGTCTTATTCGAATCGAAGCAAGAAAAATATCTAAAATACATGGCAGTCCTGTCAACTTAATTTATAGAGTCAAAGGGATTCGTTTGGAAGTTTAATTCTTAAAAATGTCATAGTGATCGAAACACAAATTATGGTTCAAGTACTTATACTGATATTTATACTTTTATGGTGTAATGATCGAAACACAAATTATTTTTAATCTATTATCCTATTAAAATCTGGTAATTTTTTAAGTTATTTGACATGTTATTCAGATTCCAAGTTTGAAAAGAGACTTTGCAAAATACTAACTATTGCAGGTGCTTTACATCCTCTTTTCTCTTTGAATCTCTGGTTACCAAATTTTACAACTTATAACAATTCCAAAGATCCTTTGAATCTCTCTTTGTAATGTATGCCTTTTTTTTCTCCCCGTGTATGATTTTGTTTTTCCATCTGTCGTTATGATATGGTTTTTTGCAAACAAATATTTTTTTGGGACCATTTATACACTTCTGGAAAAAGATGTAAATGTGATTATAATTTTTATCATATTTCTCTTATATTGGTTATATTCATATTTTATTTCAACCTTTGCAGATTATTTTTCAAAGCTTGAAGGTGAGCAATCCTATAGTTCTCGGCTGGCTTATTTTGAGCTGAAAGATATATACTTCAACCTGTGAAGTATGTTTTTCTTTTTCTTCTTGTGGTGTTATTTATTTATTTATTTTGGTGTTTGAATTCAATTCTATGATAATTCAGATCTATTTTATAGAAAGGAAGGACTTTTCTTTTCTTTTCTTTTCTTTTTTTAACCTTTTTTCTATGTTTTATTTATAGACTAAATCAACTATTCTAATTAAGCTTTTCCTTTTTTACACGCTCTGCAAGCATAAATCAGAAAAAACATGTAGGCATGCACATATTTTGCTTTATTTGGGTTTTCAATACAGAGTTTCTTTATTAAATATTACTGCACTACTTAGTTGATATGAAATTGGTATTTTAAGCTAAACTTGCTTTTTTTGTCATTTTATGAGAAGGAAGCTAATCCCTTTTATTTATCTTGTCTCTCAAAAAAAGCTTTAATCATATCAGGAATTACTGTAAGTTATAAAATTATGTTAAATTAACCTCAAATAAATGAAAATAATTAAGAGAAATTCAACCAGTAATTGTTGTTTCATTACGAGTGTATCAAATTGTGGGTTCAATAATACAACATTTCTTGTTGATAAAATAACATACAATGTTTATATGTTCTCTGAGGTCGTATGACTTTAATTTTGATTGCCTCGCAATGAATATTATTTATTGCTTCAAGCGCGCGTGCACACACACACACATATATATATATATATATCTATCATTATATATCTCAATTGCTTATTAAATAACTTTCATATTCTTGTCATATTTTAGAAGCAACTCCTTTCACTAGAATTTTGAGATTTTCAAAGTTATGGTGCACTGTCACTCAACCTAATGGGATAATAAAGGCAGATGCTATTGAACTGGTGTCGTGGCCGAAAACAGAGGTATAGAAGTAACGCGTGACTCCTAGTCTCTCCAAGCATTCAAAAGAAGAGAGAGAGGTACTTAACCTCTTAAAATGGTGGGCAAGGTACAGTTTACAGGAAGCTGCATAAGATCCTCTACTTTCCAGATAATCAGTTACTTATTTTGTTCATGCATAATGCATTATTTTATTTTTTTTAAATTTTCTCCTAATCGCCGTATGAGGTATATCATTTATTATTTGATAGACGAAACAATAAATTAAATTAATAAACTTTAGAAAAAAATAGCTTAGGAAATAAAGTCGTCCTATTTATTTTGTAGTTGTTTTACTGGCACACTCCCAAAATATCAATCTTACATATTCATTGTGAACTTTTCCTCAGGATTTATTCCGAGATACTTTTCTGTTACTGGAGCAATGAAACAAGTTGTTGTTCATCATAGGACTATTCCTTATAGAAAAATGAAACATATTTTTTGCTTATATATAATCCTAATTAATTGTAGTAGCCTAGTTTAGAGAAATAAAATTATATGGCTCTTACTATTCAATAAGACATTTATGTCCTGATATTTTTTTAAAGCTATAAACTATGGTACTGTTATATGAATACAATAACATTTTTTGCCATTCTTTTTTCTTTATTTTGTGCAGGAGCCTGCAGTACTAAGCAAGCAAAACATCCTCTCTCTCTTTTTTTTACTTAATCTTGTGACAGTGACTAGTCCGTGAGAGAAAGGTAAACTAAATGGATCAGAACATGATGCATTATAAGTTCACTATACTACAAATTTTTAATTTATTTTATATCTCATAATTGTTAATATTATTAATTATTGGTGTTATATGTTCTCATCCTTAACTGATAATTGCTTGGATGCAATACTAAGTTCATTTGAATTGGATATTTTATGCCATCAACTTTGCTTTTGGTCTTGGTCAATGAGTCTGTGTGATGAAAGATTGAACTCTCTGATTGCTAGGGAATGGAATTTAAATGAAAAAACTTTAAAGATATTATTAAGAAGGTCTATTCATGCTAGTATATAAATTTGTATCCAGATATGTCTTTTTTTATTTGGTAATCTTATCCAGATATGTCTTTACTTCTAGTGTTAATGGTTCTTCCGGAGTTATTAAAACTATGTTTGCGAAAAGTGTGTTTTTCAGAAAGAAGATTACAAAGCAATGGACAAATCTTGGATAACAATGCCACAAAATACATCTATGTATGTGGAGGGAGTTCGGGGATTTATTAACTTTGCATTCCAAAATTGTGGTGTTGAAGGTGAAATAATATGCCCTTGTCCGGTATGTGGATTTAGAAAGTGGCAGCCAAGAGATGTTGTCTATGATCATTTAATTTGCAAACAATTCCCCAGAGGATACACTTTTTGGTTCTACCATGGCGAGTCAAGGATGGAGGAAAATAGTAATATCAATGCCACACATTTTCCAGATGTGGAACAAAACAACTTGGTTGATGAAGATCCAATACAAAACATGATAAATGATGCATTTGGAGTTGATATCTTGCATGAGAATGAGCATAACTTTGACACAAATGAAGACATTGCACAAGATGGTGGAACCACATCAAATGAAGATAAATATTTCTTTGAACTAGCAAAAGATGGAGAACAACCTCTGTATGAAGGATGTAAGAAATATTCAAAGCTTTCTTTTATGTTGAAGTTATATCACATCAAATGCTATTGTGGGATGACTGACAAGGCTGTTACAATGATGTTGGAGCTACTACAAGATGCATTTGAAAATACCAATTTGCCAACTTCATTCTATGAGGCAAAGAAAACTATTTCAAAGTTGGGTTTAGACTATGAAAAGATACATGCTTGTCCAATTTGGTACATTTGGAACTAGAAGTTATTCAAGTAATAGTGATAGTCAAATGAGGTTTGGAGATGTCTTGTACTATGGCAAACTGATGGACATTATAGAGATCAATTATAATTGCTTATTCACAGTTACTTTGTTCAAGTGTCAATGGGCTAATACCATTAATCCTAAAGGCATCAAAAAAGACAATCTGGGATTTACTTCAATTAATTTCACAAGACTAATACATACAGATGAACATGAAGATGATGAGCCATACATCAAAGCATCTGAAGCTCAAATGGTTTATTTTGTGGATGATGAGAAAGAAAAAGGTTGGAGCATACCTATTCATTTGAAACCAAGAGATTTGTACGACATGGGTGAAGATGAAGAAGACATTATGCCATCCATTGAGTCATTTCCATCCCAAAACTTGGAACAAATATTGTCTGGTGATGCTATGCATATTCAGTTAACAAGACCTAATGTAGATGATGACAATCACACTTTGACCGTTAATGAACATGACAATGATTAAAGTGGTGTACTGAATGACATGAGCAATGCAGGCTAGATTGGATAATTTGTATTTTGAAACCTAATTTGTATTTTGAAACCAAATGTAATAGGATTATGCAATTTTGTCTCACATTTGATAAATTGTTGATTGATGCAATTTTTGTTTTTCTTAATTTATTCATGGTTAATTCATGCCTAATATTGCTCTCCCTTTGTAAGTTATCAACAATGTTTTATGAATTCATTATGTGCTTCAATTGATTAGTTGTTTTGAGTATTTGTACTTATTGTCATTGAGTATTTGGATTTATAGGGATGCCTCGGAAACCATGATTCATTATGAGGCCTCAATCTACACCAGGCAATATCCTTAATTGTTTCTCCAGGGACTAATACTGAAAGTGGAGCAGCACATAGTTCTCTTATTTTGACACTAAGTCCATCTAATTTAGGCAACGAATTACAACATTCAGCAAATAGATGCACACGTATGTAATTTTAACTGCTTTGTTTTCTCTTATTTTGTTTTTCAGATTAACCAGGTTCAATTTCAGCACAACGTTGAGAAAAAGAGCGCTTTCGCACTAGGACTTCTTGCCATCAAGGTAATTTGGTTTTTCTATTATTGCTATTTTAGAATCATTATGTATTTTATACCTTGTATTTTGCATTTTTTTTAATTTCTAAATGTTCCTTAGTGTTTTGCATGTTCTCAACTATATTTTGATGTTTAATATGATTTTGCAAACTGAGATTAAGATTATATTTCGATACCAATTATTTGTAATATTTTAGTGGAAGATTTCTTTTATGTTGAATTTGCTTCTTTAATGTTAATAAGTTTGTGTAATTTGTAATGTTATTAATTATTTGTTATTGGAGTATTTTTGTATCATTAAATCCATTGAACACTTTGTATCTGTGATTAGTAATCTTATGCTATTGTTCCTAATTAGAGGCTTAATGGTCTATTGGTGCTGACAATTCAATAATGAATATCTCATAGAACAGAGATGAAAATTGCCTTGTGATCCGAGCTTTAAACCCAGAGAAGTCTATTGCTATGTAAAATAATTGAAGCAATGCAAATAAAGTTGTTTCACCTAATATTGTATATTTTTTTGCTCTACTGATTCGTTGACCATGGTGTCTACATGACTCTTCCATGGCTAAAGTTTTTTTGCTCTACTGATTCTTTTCATGTTACTTGCTGGCACGACATGGCATAGAGCAAGAGATTTATAAATGTATGTGAATGTGACGTGTGTGATGGTGATTGCAGAGAAGAGAGTTGAGAGTAAAAAGTTGTAGTCTATCTCCTTCCTAGCCTTCTTGTTCGTAACCTTTGCCATGCCTGCAAACACATTTCTTTTATTTATTCTTTTGTCCATTGTCGAATTACCAACCATTTTTGTTTTTGTTTTTTGTCTTAAAGTTTGGCATTATTTATTTTATTATTGATAGTGTGTAACTAAAAAATTAACATGTTGGTTTTTGTTTTTTATGAAATGCTACTCATATGGCTTGTGGTTTCTACAGATTCATTTATTGAGGAGTCATTAGTGGACTTAATGGATGAGGAGAGTTTCAGGTAGGACATTCATAGAATTATGCATATTCCTCTTGATATTCCAAGATAGATTATAAATAGCAATAAAGCTGTTCAATAACATAGAAGCAACATTAGGGATATCCATTTTGCATTTAAGCATCACCGAACAACATAGGTGACTAAGTTTAGGTAACAGTACTAGTCATATGATATTCACAATTTTATATATGTGTGTGTGTGTGTGTGCGCGCGCGCGCGCTAGTTACATGTAGCTGTGGTCGCATTATTTTTAAAATAGTGTTTTAAGCTATTATATGTTTAGGTTGTTGATATTCAGACGTATTCAAATAAAATTATAACACATATCTATTATATGTATTATTTTATTATATTCTATCTTTTAGTTAAGTTTTGCTTTCCAAGTAGGTTCCATCTATTGGAAAATAATTGCTTTCATATTGAAGTGATAAAAACCACATGTCGTAGCTGTCAGCAACAATGTTGTCTTTGTGTGTGGATTGATTGATCTAAATCCCAAAAATATGAAAATCTTCTCAATAATAATTTTCCTTATATGTGCTCAATAATGATAATATTTTGTCTTTATTTGTAATTTGTAGGCTCTCATGTTTGGAATCCTCCATTGGTATCAGAAATTCTTCACCAAATATTAACATATCATCCACACAACAAGGTCAAAATGAAAGATTAGCATCTCCTCTTGATGACTTTTTTCATGGATGATATTTAAATTCTAGAAATTTTGAAAACTTCAGAATGACATTTTATTGGAAATTTTTTTTGTGATCTTTAATTTCTGTTTAGGTTACAGTATTTTGGGATCTTTATTTTCTGTTTAGATTATAGCACTATGAGAATACATTTTGTTGGACTCTTTTGATATTTGCTTTTGGTTTAGATTACAATACTTTGGGATGATATTTTGTTACACTCTTTTGTAATCTATACTTTTTGTTTAGATGATTGTACTCAAAACATCAAGTTTGATGTTTTTGAACATTATGAAAAATGATTTATGAAAAAAATAAAAAAATATTATGATAAATGACATTTTTATGAATATGTCATCGTGGTTTCATTGTTAGTAAATAAACTTAACATATATTTCAATAAATTATGTATGAAAATAATATTATATATTTGATTAAATTTATAAAATACAAAATATCTCAATAATAAAACAATAACAAATAACGATTATTCAAATTTAAAAAATTGGATTTTTGAAATATTTCATACACAAAAAATTGATTAATTTTTTTCGGAATTATCAAATAAAATCATAAAAAATAATTATATAATTTTTTTAATAAAATTAACAAAAATTTAAAATTAATTTTTATATTATTATTTAGAGGTGGTTATAAACCGCCTCCGAAAGTAAAATACAAAGACGGTTTTAAACCGACTCGAAATACCTCATCACTTAATTAAAGGCAGTGACAAACCGCCTCCAAAAGAAAACATAGAGGCGGTTCAGAACCAACTCAAAAACCATGTAACTTATTCCGAGGCGGTTAGGAACCGCCTCTAAAAGTAAGACATGATAAATTCGATGATCATTATGTGGCGGTCAAATCGCCTTCGTAACCGTCGTTATATTGCTCACGACGGTCGTTCCAGCAGTTCATTTTGACCGTCGTTGATTCCTGCCCGACGATTTATTTGGCGACGGTTGGTTAACCGCCGTACTTCGATTTTAGCGACGGTTGTAACTGCGCCAAATAGAATTGAACCGCCGCAAAATACTCCTTCTCTTGTAGTGATACTTTTTTTTTGGTGAAAGAAAGGGCTTAACAGCCCAAGAAACCACTAGACAATATAAACGTTCCTAGTACTAGTAACAGAACAAATATCAGCAAAAAATAAACAGCTAAGTCCAGGAGGGACATGACTAAACTCCTTATAGATAGAGTTCTGGCTGGGGTAAATCAAATGGTTGGCAAGCCAATCAGCACATTGATTTCCTTCACGGTGGATGTGTTGAGCCTTGAGATCCCAATCTTTGTTCATCCAAGTCCGAATGCGAGTAACAATATGCGACTCTCGGACATCATTACCTTTACTGGTAAGCAGCGTGATCACCGAAGTGGAGTCACTCTCAATAATAAGTTTTCGAAACCCTTTATTCCAAGCAAATTCCAAACCTTTCAAAATACCCCATAATTCTGCTGTAAAAGATGAAGCAATACCCACATGATAAGCAAAACCCCCTAGCCATTGGCCATCAAATCCTCTACATAATCCTCCGCATGCAGCTACTCCTGGAGAACCTTTGGCTGCACCATCTGTGTTTAATTTTATCCATCCATGATCTGGTGGCTGCCATGCAATATGTATCTGAGATAACATTCCTGCCTTCTTCGTGATACCTTTATCACCAAAAGCTTGCTCGATATCCATAGCCATGCATTGCACTTTACGCACAATAAGAGAATCAGTAGATCCTTCCTTCCCATGATAAACAACATTTCTATCATTCCACAGCTCCCAACAAGTTAAAATAAGTATAGTAACCCAATTCAGACTTATGGGTCCTGACCTGTCATTACATATGTTGGAAGACACCCAATCCAAATCATAGAAAGACGTTTGTCTCCTGGACAAAAGCAATTTATCCCACACTGTTTTTGCCACCACACAGTCTCTCAATACATGAAACTCCGTCTCATATGCGCTAAGACAACGAGAACAAACAGGATTCGCGTCTGACCACTTAGCATCCCAAGCACTAGTTGGCAGTCTACGATGCAGACATTTCCACATGAAGATCTTCACCCTCTCTGGACCCTTCCAATGCCAAAGGGCATTCCACACATGATCTGGAATAATTTGATTTACAATGGGAAAACGTTTCTGTAAAAGTACCTGATAGGCATCCTTAACTGTTATGGAACCATGACCACTAATACTCCATCTTTCTACGTCTGATCCGTCATTTACTGCAAGAGGGAGGAAACCAGTCACTATCTCTAAGATGTTATGCGGCAGACAAGATTGTAGCATATTCACATCCCAGCAGCCATTTATATCAAGAACTTCATTAGCTTTCTTAGCTAGATCATGCCCACTAAGCTCCTTCATGCAAACATTTACTAAGGGACCCACATTAGGAATCCAGGGATCTGTCCAAAAGTTGACTGAAGTTCCATCACCAAGTTCCCATACGACATAATCTTTTAAATCCAACCACACCTTACAAATACTCCCTCAAAGGAGCGAATCGCCGGTTCTACTGGTAAACATATCCAGCTGATTTCTTCTACCATTGTATTTAGCTTTTAGAACCCGCACCCAAAGCGCATCATGATCTGTTTTTATAAGCCAAGCTAGCTTACCCAAAAAAGCATCGTTCATGAGATCAAGACATTTAACTCCAAGACCTCTCTTATTCTTTGATTGCACTAAAGTACTCCACCCGATCAAAGCATTCCCTATTTTTTGATCAGATCCATTCCAAATAAACTGACGTTGTACCTTTTCCACCTCATAACAAATGGATTTAGGCAACTTAGTACTTTGTATTTGGAAGAAAGGTACAATTGAAACTGAAGCTTTGCTCAACGTAATCCTACCTGCCATAGAGAGGCACTGAGCTTGCCAACCTTGAATTTTTGACTTAACCTTATCAACAATATCATTGAATAAGGCTTTGGAGACTCTTCCATGTTGCATCATCGTTCCAAGGTAGCGACCCAGATTCCTGGTCCTTTTGAAACCACCCAAACTCGCAATCTTATCTGCTTTGAAATCATCAACATTCTTAGAGAAGTATATGCTGGTTTTGGCTAAGCTCACACGAAGACCAGACATTAAAGCAAACTCATTCAAAAGATGGACAATCACACCCATTTGAGCTTCACTAGCCTCCGCAAACAACATCAAGTCATCAGCAAAAATTAAATGAGAAATCTCAGGACCTCCTTTGCCAACCCTTATTGGATTCCACTCCCCTTTACCAACAGCATTTGCAATCATATGAGAGAGTTTTTCAATTCCAAGCACAAACAAAAAGGGAGATATGGGATCACCTTGCCGCACACCTCTAGATGGTTGAAACTCTGGCGTTAACTCACCATTCCACAGCAAGCTAATATTTGGCGTTGTAACAGCAGCCATGACAATATTTAAAAAATTACCTGGCAATTTTATTTCTGACAAAACCTCTCTAAGGAAGCCCCAGCTAATTCGGTCATAAGCCTTTTCTAGGTCCACTTTAATAGCCATGAAGCCTTTCCTACCTCTCATTCGATGCATAGTGTGAACGAGCTCTTGAGCAACAATAATATTATCCTGAATATGCCGTTTCGGAATGAAGCTAGCTTGGTATGGAGAAATGATCCTCTCCATTATTGGTTTCAGCTTATTAACAACAATTTTACTGAGCACTTTGTATAGAACTGAGCAGAGAGATATAGGGCGCATGTGATTCATTATAGTAGGCGCTGGAATTTTGGGGATCAGAACTAAGAGAGTTGAATTAATTCTCTTAATGTCCACTGGATTCTGCCACAAATAACAGATCTCTTGACAAACTTGCTCCTTGATTCTATCCCAATTATGCTGGAAAAAAGTTGCTTGAAATCCATCAGCTCCTGGAGCTTTAAAGGATCCCATATCAAAAACAGCACGACGAATATCTTTCATGGAAGGTGGCTTTTTAAGATCCTGCAAAGTATCATGTGCTATTACTGGCCACCACTCCTCAGTTGCAATCCATTTCCGATTGGAATCCTCCTCTTTGAAAAGTTTCAAATAGAAATTACGAGCCAAATCTTGAAGAGCCCTTAGATCTGAGATCCATGTTTGAGTATCATTCTTCAACCTCAGAATTTTGTTGGTGTTCCTACGGATGATTGTATTCAGATGATAGAACCTAGTATTCCTATCACCATCAACAATCCATTTTTCCCTAGACTTCTGGAACCACAACAACTCTTCTTGCTCTAGAATACTAGATAGCTCTTCTTGTAACTTGTTTTCCTTCATAGCCAGGTAATGAGATTCCTTTGTCATTCTTTGTTGCTGAACACGATCTATTGACTTAATGATACCCTTTTTTCTAAGCCAAATATTCCCAAAAACATTGGCGTTCCATTGTTTTAAAGGAGGGATCAACCTCTTGAGCATATTACTACACGTATCATTATACCGCCAATATTCATCAAGGAACAAGTTGATCATTGGATGTTGCTGCCATGCTGCTACAAATCTAAATGGTCTTGCCCCTAACTGAGCATGAGTAGCATGCAGCTCCACTAAAAGAGGATTGTGATCGGATTGAATCCTAGGAAGCACCCGAACATTTGCATCTGTGTATTTCAATCTCCAAGCTTCATTGGCACATACTCGATCAAGTCGCTTAAAAATACGATCCAAATGTCCCCACTTAGGACCTTGCCAAGTAAAGAAAGCACCAGCTCCACCCAAATCTATTACTTTACAATCATCTAAAACTTCAGCAAATTTTTGACATTTTGTTATATCTACAGTAGCCCCACCTTTCTTCTCTGATGAATGTGCAATCTCATTGAAATCACCACCCATAATCCAAGGATCCGCTACCTGAGAGCTCAGTCTTCTAAGATCTTGCCATAATGAATTTCTCTTCTCTTCACGGGGGCTGGCATAAATAGCTGTAAGAAAGGTGAATAGTTCCCCATTTTTAAGAATTTTAACATGGACAAACTGACTAGATTGCTCAATAGTCTCCACTCTGAAGAAATGAGAGCACCAAAATAACCAAATACCACCAGAAAATCCTTGGGCCTCTTCAACAACTATTTTATCATAACCTAGGTTTTTTGCTAATTTTGCAGCTCGTTCACCAGAAGCCCTATGTTCAAA